AGTTGGTACCAGAGTAGCACTCGCAATGCCTGGTGTTTCCATGGCTCCCTGCCTAGTCCCTGTGTGAGCACATTATGCTTTAACAAGTGGTTTATTGTTAGCGCTGGGAGGCAGCGGCACAACACCAAAGGAACAGCAGCGGGTTCCAATTTGCAGAGGATAAAGACTAATCTTCACAAACCCCTGCCTTTCAGCTGAGGACTCAGAGCGTTCCATAATGGTAGGCTGGTATCTTCACAGAGAGGGAAGTGGGGCCTAAGGGAGGTGACCAAAGCCTCAGGAAAAGTCAGTGGCAGAGCTGAGTAAAGAACCCAGGAGTCCAGGCTCCCAGCCCTGCTGTGCTGCCCACTGGACCCCGGGCCGTGCCCAAAGCGAGGCACAGAGCCAGGATCCCAGCCTGGGGCCCCATCCTGCTACGGTCAGCATCTGCTTGTATCATCGTGTAACATTATGTCACGGCGCCCTATTGTGTCACAACGCGTGGCATCGCCGTGGCGATGTCACCAGGTCCCCTCCTTCCCCCACTTGGGTTATTTTATCACCTTCCCCCCTGGTGGTGGTTATGGGGTGGGGTTACCCTCCGCCCTGAGCCAGGGTGGTGGAGAGGAGAGAGAACTACCCTCAGCACAATAACTATGAGCTGGCCCTTTAAGAGAGGCCGAAAGCTCACGTGACCTGCCAGGCGGCGGTGACACAACCAGCTAGGGGAGGGGGGCGTCTCCCCCCGAACGCGTGGTCGCTCCTGATTGGCCGAGCTCTGCAACCAATCGGAAGCGGCCATCTGGGACGCCAACGTTCGGGGGCGCAGCCTCACTCGTCGGGCAGGGTGCCGGCCAATGGGGCCGCGCGTCGCTAGGGCTCGGGCCAATGGGGCGGCGGCGGGGGCGGGCGCTGGGCCGGGCCGGGTATAAGTGCGGCCGCCGTCGGCTCCGCGCCCGCAGTCAGTGTCTTGGGCGCCGCTGGGTCAGGCCAGGCCGGCACCTCCCGGGGACTAGCGCGAGACCCACCGCGATGAGCCCGATCCTGGCGCTGTGCGGCCTGCTGGGCCTGGTGGCGGCGGGGCCCGCCCAG